CCCTGATTCGGCGGAACACTCCACCTGATGAAACACTTAGAAGCTTCATTTAGCCGTAGTCACGTGACGTGGGTGTTTTGAATCACGCTTCGGATCAGTGTTTCAAATCATCTGCGCTTCGGGATCTTGCAAAGTTTGTTTCTTGTTACTAGAGTCTACAGTGATTTATTTGTAGAAGTATTTTGTGCTTTAGTTCTGCCATCGGTCCTGTCTGTCTTATCTTATGTGTCTCCAGTCCTGCATCCCTGGCAGCTAACACTCTTTGCTTTGGTGCTGAGCCTGAGATCCCAGAGTGCCTTGCTGTTGTATCTGAAGTTTCCTGTCTGGCTACTGGTGGTATTCAGGTCTCAATCAACTCTGCCATTGCTACTCTCAAGCCTACAGACATCTTGTGCAGTTATCAACGTCTTTGTGTCATCCTTGCCTATTGTCTGGACTGTTCACCTCTCCCACCACATCCTGTCATCTGTCTACTGTCTATCAATAAATCTGTTAACACTCATTCTGCATTTGAGTCCTTTATAGATCAGTGATAGGGGAGATCATTCAACCAGAGCCGTGAATGAGACTGTTCTAGAGAGTGATATTTTGGCTTTCTGTGTTGGTACCACGAGCCGTCGCTCATTCACTGATCGTAAGCTTCTGGTAGGGATGTAGACTCGTAGGAGCGATTGAAAGTAGGAGGGAGCTGAGCTTGTGATAGATCTGTAAGCAAACGTCAATGCCTTGAACTTGATGCTTGAAGACGAGACGAGCTGCAGTGTTCTCTTCTATCATTTGTAGAAGTTTAGTTGCACATGATGGAGGTCCAGCCAGAAGAGCATTGCAGTAATCTAGCCTAGATTTGACCAGGCCCTGGACAGGAAGTTGTGTTGCTTGCTCAGTTAGGAAAGGCCTGATCTTCCTGATGTTGTGCAGTGAAAACCGACATGATCAAGATGTCTTTGTAATTTGGTCTGTGAAGGTCAGGTGGTCATCAAATTTTACTCCAAGATTTCTGACCAACCTTGATGGTGTGATTGATGATGAATCTAGCTGGATAGTGAAGTCGTGCTGTAGAGACTGATTGGCATGGAGGACGAGAAGCTCAGTTTTTGCCAGGTTGAGTTGCAGGTGATGTTCCTTCATCCATTTAATGATATACAGAAATGATTACAATGCCACATAACCTAAACCATAACATTAACATTCTTAATCTGTCACGTAGTAACGACTACGAAAATCAGCTGTTCTCCCGTAGTAGACGGTTACAGTAGAATGTCGTGAAGTAGCAGTTAATATCGCGCATGTGCAAAAGTTCCACAAGAGGCTATTGCTTATATTCGGTTTTGGACCCGTGAAGACCTCTAGCGGAGAGTGTGATTGCCCGCGATTGCCCGCAAGCTTCTCCTCCTGTCCATACGGTAATCTCTCTACTGTGCGACAGAGAGTCGCGTGGGTATGACGCAATCGTTAGCCTACTTTTACAAAAAAACTGCTTCTATGGGGCCATACGCTACAAGGTAATGGAGCATTTTATACATTGTCGTGTTTCTTTAGAAATAAATAATGGACAAATGGAGTCTTCAAACGCCTCAGATGTAAAGTTATTAGCTATCAAAGTGACGCCAAAATGAATGGGAGTCAATGGAAATGCTAACTCAAGTGAAGTTCTGCTACAAGATGGCGGCACCCGGCCGGCTTCAACTTCCGGTCGATGGATTACCCCCTAGGTCTGGCCAGAGAATGTACGGGCTCTGGTATGGCAAAGAGCTCATTCAAGTCCATTTCCAATCAGTTGAAATCAAGGCACCAATCAGAAACGTTGGGGTGGGCTTTACACGATGATGACAGCGCTAGGATTTTGAAGCAGAGCCTATTACAAAGATGGATGCCGCCGTCGAACATGACGAGTTCGAATCAGCTATCGCGTCTGTTTTAAGCGATTCCTTTTTGTTAAAAACCAAGCAAAGAACAACACTCGGAGATGTTTCTCCGCCGCTCTGCATACGTCATCTCCTCCATTGCTCTGATTGGTTTTAGGTCTATCCGCGACATCTGTTGGTGACGCCCCTCTGGAAATGATTTGTCTATGACGCTTTGCCAGACCATAACTCAGTTACAACTGAGAATGGTCTGGTTATAACCAGGCTAGCACACCTTGAGAACGTTCAACAACTTCAAGCATGCAACAGCCCCATAGTAACAGGAAGTTCCAGGAAGTAGTGCTTACAACACCTCATTGTTATTGCTCTTTGTGTTGTAAACTGGTTCGTTATGTAAAGATTGAACAACGTTCCTTGATATGAGCATTCATTTGCAAGTGTTTGTGAACAAAACCAGCACTGGAATTTAAATCAGCCATCAATGCTACTTTTCTAAACATTGGCCTCTCTCCTAATCACATGCCCTGAAAGCAGTTTTATGTGATTTGTTTGTACATTTTTATTTTATTTGATCAGCTTTTTACTGTTAAGGTTTTAATATATCATTATTTACTGCAATGCCCATTATCCTCTGTGCTTTTAGAGATTGCAATACTACATAACTTTTTAATTAAATCCAGATGAAGTAGTTCTGGCACAAATGTCATTTGTGTTACTGTGGGTGTAAATTTCTGCAGGAATGTTAGATATGCTGCAAGATAAAGCAATGTATTTTATCTTTCTTTAAATGAATGCAGGATGTTTGAATCCATTACACTGTGTGTTTTTTTTTACAGGAATGTGTAACTTGCACCTGGCAAGGTTTGGGGTTGTAGGGGGAAATAACTTTTATGTATGATCACGTTGCAGCCAGGTGATGGTTTTTGCTTGAGGGAGAGGCTTTCGTAATGAACTTCAATTGCGCAACATTTGCTGTCAATTACGAATGCGTCAAACACCTTGCTAAATATTACCGGACTCGTTTGCTCACTGGCTTTGTTTTTGTAACTTTCATAATGATCACACTGCGTTCATAATTTGCCTAATCGCCTCCAGGTCTGGAAGAGTTTCCAAAGTGTCATTCCAAACAACACTAACAGCTCAGCGCTCATAAACAGAACATAGAACTAAAGTCAAGACTTGTTAAGAGAAAATGAAACTGATAACTCCTTTAATGCGTCATTAGTTTAGCCTACAAGCATGATAATGGTCCTGATTAGCAATCAGGAGACTGGCCACCTAAAACTGAGTCACGCCACAGGACACAATAATTGTTGACAAAGCTGCTTAGTTTTTTCTTTAATTTTTAGGGTAATATTGTGTCCTTATTGTTTATTTTGACACGCTTCTGTCTTTCAGTTCATTATAAGAAAAAAACAACACAGGACAACATTTGACTTTAAATTGATTTAAAAATAAATAAATAAAATACATAGATATGTATAATTAATATACAGTTTCAGTGTTGTTTGCTTTTTAGCTAAATGGTCAAGACAAAAAAACAGACTTTTTTTTGTTGTTGATAAAAGTAAATTTGACATTTCTGCCCATTGATCTAATGGATGAGTGAATACAGAATAAACTTTCCAAAAGTGCATTTTTCTTTTTGTTATATTTGCAATAGAGTGCTAATAAAATCTTTATACTGAATTTATTGTCTCCAGATATATAAAGGGTAATCAATCATAAAATCCATATTTGCTACATGTCCTTGAGGTGTGTATTTTTGGACCGTCAGTAAGAGTTCACGCTCACACCACACACGTTTCACTCAGCTCAAACTGATCAAATAAAGCCACAACATGTTAAAGATGAGCAGAGCTGACGTGATTGGTTGTGTTTAATCAGCCGCTCATGTCAAAGGTTTGCTCTGTTTCAAGAGAGGCTGTTGGCTTGAAAGATACCTCGGCAAAGCATGATGGGGGTTAATGAGTAACTTATTCTAAAATCGGGGGAAGGTGGTCTTATTTATTATTAAATTGGTATTAATAGACTGATACATTAGTAACTACTTAGACAACGTTTGGCCTTTTTAAGATTGCCTGTTCTGAATTACTTGTGCAAATTGTCAACTGGCTAATTAACAGAAATGGCCTTTTCACTAAATGTCATTTCTTGTCAATTTTATATATGAATACACACTATCATGGAAAAGTTTGTGGTCAGTAATATTTTTAAAATATTTTTTAAATACGTCTCTTATTCTCACCAAGGCTGCTTTTATTTGATCAAAAATAAAGTAAAAAATTTAATTTACAATTTAAAATAATATTTTTCCATTTGATATAGTTTCAAATGTATTTTTTTATGAGATGCAAAGCTGAATTTTCTTCAGTGTGTCACATGATCCATCAGAAATCATTCTAATATGCTGATTTGATCCGCATTTCTTATTATTATCAATGCTATTTAATATTTTTGTGGAAACTGTGATACTTTTTTCCAGGATTCTTAACAGAAAGTTCAAAATAACAGCATTTATTTGATATTGAAATATTTTTTTAACATTACAAATGTCTTTACTGTCACTTATGACCATTTTAATGCACTCTCGCTGAATAAGCAGTATTTCTTATTGAAAAAATCGTACTGACCCCAAACATTTAAAGTTATCACACACACACAGGTTTTGGACCCTACATTATATTGACATTATATTGACTCTAGATCAGTGCTTCTCAAATGGTGGCTTGCAAATTAGTTAAAATAATACATTAAATAGGATTATACTTCAAAAGGGGAAGACAAAACACATTAACAAAGGACAGTTCTGTTCATTTTCAACAATCTCTAGTCATTGGGCATTAAAACTCAACCAACTGCTAGAGTAAAGGTTGAGATGAATGCTGACATCAGTGTTTACTTTGATTCTACCGTAACAGCACAGTTTTACCTGGGTCAGGTTATCCTGCACTATAAGATGGATGTGAATTGTCACCATTTACAATCATTAATAAATAATGCAAGACCAGTTAAATCTCTATTGGCAAAGCTACACTAAGTTGGGTCAAATATGGACAAACCCAAATGCTGGGTTAAAAATGTAATTTTAAAAAATGTACAGTTCAAGTTGGGTTAAAAACATTAAATTTCATTTTAACCCAACATTTGGATTTGTCCATATTTTACCCAATTTTGGGTTAAAACAACCCAGCATTGTTTAGAGTGTACTGAGAACTGAGGAAGAGTTTGTGAAATAATTAAGCACAACAAGGCATGAGATCACAAACAGCTGCAAGTCTGAAAAGCGGCAGAGAACGTCCTGAAACAGGCCATTTCTCTAAAGTTGCATTACGACATCTGCTAAAGTCTAGAAACGAATCGAAAGGAAGGGGTGGGGGGATTGGTCAGAGAATCACATCCTCTGCTTTTTCTATCTGAGCGGGCCTGGGCTCTCCTAAAATGGCCGCTATCAGAGCCTCCGGAGCGCTGACTCCGTTCCTGGGAGACGCAGGGCTCCGTGGACTAAGAGGACTGAGGGAGGGCGAGGTTAAAGTGTCTGGAGAAACCAGACGCTCTTTCTTGGCATTGGAGGAAGGGTGCGGGGAGGAGCTCCGTGCGGGCCCGTCGCGGGGCCGTGGGCACAGGCTGAGAGACTGGAGGGAGGGAAGGGGCGATGAGGAGAGCGCAGGTACGGCAGGGCTGCGGCTGCGCTGCCGCTTCTGGTGGTTATGATGCCGTTTGCCGCTGTGGTTTCCAGGGCTGGGGCTACGAGAGATGGGAGCCAACAGGACCAGCGTACTGTCGTCTTCAGAGCTGATATCTGAACTATCAGAACGCGAACGACACCCTGGTGCAGGTGGTGTCGACATGGGAAGCTGCACCTGTGAGGAAAATATACACACACACATATATATATATATATATATATATTAAATGTTACATAGAAGTTAAAGGAAGGGATGAAAAAAGTCGTTTTAAAAAAAGTAAGTTTGTAAACCCACAGACCTTCTTTATTCTACAGAACACAAAAGGAGACTTCTTTTAATGCAATTACTATGAAAAGACCCAAATTTATGTTGTTATTCACTAAAAGTATTGACATTTGCCCTAGCTTGACGTGTTCATGAGAGTACACGAAAGAAGAAACAATGTTTGTTACCTTAAGCGAATTTATTTCAGTTAATCACTTTATCGATCAGTTTACAAAACTGATGTGAATCGTTTACTGATGTGAATCGTTACGGTTCATTACACTGATCTGGCTTAAACTAGTTCAAGTTCAACAAACCCACTCAACTGGTTTTGTTTTACTGGATGATTCAGTCGCAGTGGTTTTGCTTTACTTTTGGCCTGTTTCTCACACAAAGAGTTCATTTCAGCCTCAAACCTCTTCTGGCCTAGACTTGGACTCGACTGTGTTGGTCTCGACTACAACACTGCTTCATATGACTTCAGAAGACTTGAAAAAAAAAAACTGGTCTATGAACATTTAAAGTGCTTTTGTCCTTAAAAGCTTCAGTCTTTATTCATTCAAATGAATGACGAAATGAGCACCATCTTCAAAAACCCCCTGGAGTTCCATGGAAGAAAGAAACTGTCATCAAATCTGGGGTATTCAGAGTTGTGTTTGAGGCACATAGTAGCAAGTAAACTCTTGTCTTGAGTTTCATGTCAGTGAAATAATGAATGCTGACTACTTCTGGAAAGTCTACACATATTTCAGTTCATTTCTATTCAGTCAGTCTATTGTGGCATTTTTGATTTCAGATTTAATGCCCTTAGTAGTTATTACACGACTGCTTGTGTAAAAAAAGATTGATGGCCCATTTGATTGACAGGTTGACCTTCATGTGCATCATGTGTTTGTGATCATGTGTTTTTGACAGCTAGTTTTGACCTACACTCTTAAAAAAAGCGGTTCTTCAGCGGTTCTTCAGGGGTTCTTTGTGGTGGTCAGGGTGCTATATAGCACCACTACCATTTAAAGAACCTGTTAAGCCCAGTTTGGTTCTTCAGTGGTTCTCTCGGGTGGTTAAGGTGCTCTATTGCACCTCTTATGGTTCTACATAGCACCATTTGATAAAGATAAAAGTGGTTCCCCTATGATTACAAGCCAATGAACTACTTTTAGTGCTATATAGCACCATTTTTGTTTCGAGTGTATTGATCCTCCCTATTATATGTCATTTTGTCAGTTGGTTTTGATCTGCTAACCGGGGGTATTATGTTATAGTTTTGACACTTAGTTTTGTGTCGTGTGCAGTGGTGGAAAGAGTACTGAAAAAACATACTCAAGTAAAAGTACCATTACATTCCAAAAAATGTAGTGTGAGTAGAGTAAAAAGTACTTGTCCAAAAAACTACTTGAGTAAGAGTAAAAAAGTAGCTTATTTAAAAGTACTCAAGAGTAGTGAGTAGTGAGTACTGAGGTGCGGATTCTAACCCTTATAATAAACACTGTGCACTACAATTTATAAATTAAAAAAATGCACATACTGGAATTCACATTTGTTCTTTGTAAGAAAGATTGAAGAATATCTATCATCCATCTTTTTAAAATGCATCAAATCAGTACACTCATCACCATTTAAATCATATTATTTGGGGGAAAAAGCATTTAAAATTAGGCAAAAAGCCACTGGGCCTGAGCATGTTATTGTTGCACATAAAATATCAATATTCATAACTGTGCAAAGAATTGAAAAACCTTTAGAAACTCATATGATAGTTCAGCATCACACACCAAGAGATGGGTTAAATAAAATAAAAAAAATACCCAATTTCTCTCCAAAACGGTACCAATGTTAGTGTTTTGATAAATGAGAATCACTAATATTATCATATTACCTCAACTAATGCACTGAAAAAGGCTAAGATAGTGAGCTAACACTAATTACACACTTTTATTCCATGCTATTAAATATGTTACAATTTAAACGTAAATGCATTGTTCTAGAAGGGTGGCATCATCCCTTACATTTTACACGGCTACATTTACACACATTGATGCTGATAATATAATTTGTAAGGAAAATCGTGCATTAAATAGGGAAGTTATATCCAGGAAACTTCTACAAAAGAAACAAACACACTTTGTCTGTTTTATCAGCAGCATGCATCCAAAAAAAAAAAAAAAAAAAGTTCAGCATGAAAAATGTTTTTGCGCAAGTGCACTTTCCAAATGAAGACGGGTCATATAATGGATCAATCAAAAAACGCTGTTTATTAACGAGCTGTGCTAATTTCTTATTAAGTAATGCAGTTCAAGTTAACGGCATGTGCACTGATTCTGAATCTGGCGGCATGGCGAGCGCGAGACGCGGCAGTGGTGCACAGATCGTGACGCGCGTCTCTATGATTGTGAAGTAAATGGGAGCGGGAATTCACCGCATCATGAACTCGTCTCGCAATTCCCCAACCTCAGACCAAATGTTAGGCCATGTAGACAGGCCAGCCTATAAATATCATATTAAGCAGAAATGTGAAATGTACCTTAGCATATTAGAGGAAGACGCTGATATCTGGATTGAATTGATGCGTGATGAATGCACATCCACATCAGTCACGAGTAACAGCAGGAATAGGCGGTAAGTTTTCTATGCTTAATTTGAATTGATGACAGTCACGAGACCGATTACTCGATCCAATCACGTTGATGGATAAAAATCAAATTAAAACAAGCATGTAACGAGTAACGGCCACAAACAGAAGGAAAATAGCGGAGAAAAAGTACCGATACATCACTTAAAATGTACTCAAGTAAAAGTAAAATTACACAATTTTAAACTTACTCAAAAAAGTACAATTTCTGAAAAAAACTACTTAATTACAGTAACGTGAGTATTTGTAATTCGTTACTTTACACCCCTGGTCGTGTGAGGATGTGTGTCAAGAGGAGTTATATACTCTAAAAAGAGATGTGTTAAAAAACTTTTAGTTTTAAATCTTTTAGTTTGTCAGTGCGTTTTGTGGTGTTAGGAATTTTTATGCGCATTTCCTCACTAACTCAAAACGTGCGAACACCACCTCCTGAACTGGTGTAGGATTCGAGCGTGCCGTACGCCAACGTCCATATTGATAAATCTCAAACTCACCGTGGTTTTGAGTGTACGCAAGGTGTACGCTGGAAATGTGGTGTACGCACTTTTGATAAATGAGGGCCAATGTGTGTTAAAATGTAACTGGATAGAATTTTAATGGGTGGAGGGAAGTTTGTGTTTATGAACCTAATTAGAGGTAATATATTTTATATGGTATCCCATAACAAGCTCTAAAATAAATGAAACAATACATTACAATAAATAAATAAAATCTTAATTCATAAAAAACTTCAGATTAATGAGTGTTTTTGGCAGCCAATCACATCATGCCTCGGTTTCAATGTTTTTTTCAAATGCTGAGTTCACTTGTTATTAATAACTAATTTATTATAACAAACAATTTATTTCTGTCAGACGTCTACAGAAACACTTATTGAGAATTACCAGGTATTGTGTTGACGATTCATTGAATGTTTGTTTTGATGTCACCAGAATCGTGATTAGTGGCAGCTTTATTTAGGCTCTTGACCCTTCACTCTTTACCATTCGTTTCTCTGTTTGCTGTTTCTGTGTATTTATATTGCACATCTGAAACAGTTGAAATTATCTTGAGGAAAAAGATCATTAAATTATCATTTTTCAACATGATGTTTTTTAACATAGCAAGAGAAGTTTAATGTTTAAGAGATAACTTATATTTGATCACTTATATTTGATTACAGATACTCAGTGTTTACAGGATATCATGGTGTATGCTACCTTATGCTGTAATTCTTTAAAAATATGTTTAGAGAAAGTTTAAAGCTGCAGCAGAAACTAGTCAAATACAGACATCAAGAATCAGCATATGACTCTCAACAATGGTGGCAAAGCTTCATGTCTCTAGTATAAAGCTCATCCATGAGTCCCAGCATGGATTGCAGCATGAAACTTTTCGTTTGTCACCATTATTGAGATCCATACGCTGATTCTTGATATCTGTGTTTGACTGGTTTCTGCTGTAGCTTTAAACTTTTTTTGTCATTCTGCACTTTTGGATAGCTGGATGTAGTTTCACAAAGCCTTCAGAACTAACAATACATCATTAAAATAAAGCACACCTTCCATATACTCAAAAACTTGATCATAACTTGCTGATTATGACATCATCAAGAACCATCTGATCATATTTTCTGTCACCATAACAGATGTATTTTATTAAAATACAGTTACAGCAGCCAGAGAAACACTACAACAAGAGTAAAGGGTCAAGAGCCCAAATAAAGGAGCCATTAATCACGATTGGTGACTTGAAATAAAACTGAAATGAAACATCAAACCTCTGTTAATTCTCAATAAGAGCTTGTCTAAGTAGATTAATTATGTTTAAAACATCCAAATGTTCAAACAAACTCTATTAAACATCACTGGACTACATAAACACAAGTTACCAATACGTGTCAGTGTTCATCCAAACACTACTGTAAGCACACGGGAAGTAACTCTGGCAAATACTCTCCGACTACAGTCACATGTGACGCATATCTGACACAAGTTGTGTTACTATAACACATTAGTGTGTAAAAGGTTTAAACAACACACTGCTGCTGTCTAACACATTAGTTGTGTTAAACATAACACAAAATGTGTAATCCTTATAAACACAGAGATGAGTAAAGAAACGACACAGGTTGTGTGTTAAATTTGACACAACATGTGTTGTCCTTGAGCAAACACACTACATGTGTTAAAATCTACAAAACGGGTTAAAATCTACACAACATGTGTTAAAATCTACACAAAATGTGTTGTCCCTGAGCACACACACTACATGTGTTAAAATCTACACAACATGTGTTAAA